ATTGAACCACAGCAACCTGAGCCTGACAGCTTTGTTGAAGCAGCCACTTAAAAGAACTGAGCTAAGGGGTGGGCCCCAAGCACTGTACCACTGAGCTGTACCCCAACCCCATGATCAATATTAGCAAACTAAGATTACAGGCTCTTTTATTTATTAAAGGCTATACTATATACATTCAGTGTAAATTTAGTGTATTTTTAACAGAAACTTTGAACAGACTTCCCCTAAGACCAGGGACAAAATTTAAATGCCTTCTGTACCTGGCCTCCCTCAATGAGGGGGAAGGAGTTTCTGGAGATCAAATGCAGGGCCTTGCATGTGCTCCAAGACTGAGCAATATTCCCAGCCTTGGACCTCAGTAGTATGAATTACAGAGCTCCCAGTATTTAGTTGGGCACATAGCTATCCATAATAAAGACCATACCGCAAATAGGAAGTTTCTATTTACTACACACAAAATCCAGGCTTAAAGAAAGCATTCTTTGAAGAAAGCATCTCTTTCATTCCCTTTCTTTCTTTGTGTTTTCTGAGTACTACATTCTGAGGATGGCCACATAGAAGGGGCTGCCTACCAGCCTCGGAGTCGCTGCCAACCTACAGATCATAACTTTCCGGGAAAGAAGTTAAACTATCAAGTTCAAGCCATTTCACTGAATTTTCTGTCTAAACCAGCCAAAGCAAATCTTTTTTTTTTCTCCCCTTGTTTTTTTTTTTTTTTTAACGGAACTGAGGATTGAACTCAGGCCCTTGCACTTGCCAGGGAAGTGCTAATTCTGCTGAGCCATCTCCCCGGCCCCACCCCTTGTCTTTTTGAGACAGGGTCTCACTATGTAGTTCAGGCTGGCCTTGAGGTCACTTTGTAGTCCAGACTAGTGTTGAACTTGCAATGATCCTACTGCCTCAGCCTCCCCAGTGCTGGGATTACAGGCCTGTGCCACTATGCCTGGCGCACAAATCTTAATTTGTACACCCCAAGTCACGATACTATTGTGTGTGTGTGTGTGTGTGTGTGTGTGTGTGTGTGTGAGAGTGTTACTGCAGACTGAACCCAGAGAGAGAGAGTGTGTGTTACTGCAGACTGAACCGAGAGAGAGAGAGAGAGA